CGCTCTTCCCTGCTGGGGAAAAGAGCTTACTCACTCTCTGAAGTTTAAGTTACTTAGATTTCTTCTTGAGATTTTTGTTTGGTTTTCTTTGCACTTTTTTTTCCCCTCTCCTCTGAGACATTGCTTTATATTAGACTTCTGGGTTCCTTGCTTTGTCTGTTGACTGCATGTAAAATTAAAACAAACAAACAACAAAACCCACACAGAGCTCTGCACTTAAACTAGTCTACCCTTTGATTTTAAGGCATGGGAAAGATTCAGAGGTGCGGGAAAGATGCTTTTTGGGAGCTATGACTGAAATAGGAGGAGTCAGCATGGCTTTCCATCTCCTTATTTTTAGACTTTGAAGTTCCAGAAAATGTTTGAATTGGGATTTTGTCATTTCACTGTGACTTTGTCCAGCCTCATTAACTAGATATCCTTTAGGGGTTATTCCTAGGCAGTTCCCTCCAAAGATATTCATTAACCTATATTTTTGAAGTACCTTGCAGAGATAAAATAAATTATTATAGGGTGGTGATATCTTTGGCTTTGCTGTACCTCTGGGGTTTTGGTTTTTTTTAACCAGTTTAGTATTTAATGCCTAAAGATTTTTGATTTTTCTAACCACTTCTTATTGAATTAAGTGACTTGAATTTGCTAATGACCTTTGAAGAAATTGGAAGCTAGTTTGGGAGCTGAACAAGCTTCAGAGTGTGAAATAAAGCTGCATGAGATGTAAGGTATAATGCTGTGTAACTTGCATTGACGTCTAAGTTTGTAGTGGTAGATACTCTAACCTTATTTTTTAAAATTCTGTGTTTCAGGTTCGGCAATTCTGGCTCTCTTGTTAGCTGGCTATCTAGCACAGCAGTATTTACCAATGCCTACACCGAAAGTAATAGGCATTGACCTTGGCACGACTTACTGCTCTGTTGGTGTCTTTCTGCCTGGAACAGGGCAGGTGAAAGTTATTGCTGACGAAAATGGGCACAACAGCATACCAAGTATAGTCTCTTTTACGGACAGAGATGTGTACATTGGATACGATGGCCTAGAACTGGCTGATTCAAATCCTCAGAATACCATATACGATGCAAAAAGATTCATTGGGAAAATCTTCACTTCAGAAGAACTGAAGAGTGAAAGCAGCAGGTATCCCTTTAAGGTAAGTAGCTGTCTGACTTGGTTCTCTCCAAGCAGTAGTCTATGGGAAGCTTGAAACATGTAGTAGATGACCAGATTTTCTGACCTTGAGTCATTTGGCTAAATCTGATTTGCCTGAAAACCATAAGAAAAGGGAGGAGGAAATGGTTGTGCAAGTTGCATTTCTCCATGTGAGAGCTGATAGTGATTTTCCAGAGGACCTTGTCCTCTACTGTGAAGTGTGTTTCTGGGTAACCTTCCAGCCCTTCTCTTACAGTAATAACGTCAGCTTGGAATTCTAACTGTGCTTCACTGAAACTTCGCTTCCCTCCTGATACTCTTAAAAAAACCAAACCAAAACAAAACACGCACAAAACCCCCAAACAACAGCAACAAAAAACCCTGCAAAAAAACCCCAACCACCCAATCAAAAAAACCCTACAAATGGGTAAAAGTCACATCTTCTCTGTCCCAGTGCGTGTTTTTTCCCTAGCGCTTTTCTAGTGCTTATGTGACCAGCAACAGATCTTTAAAGCTGCTTTTAAAAAAAAGTGTATTGTATTAATTTAGTGTGGTGCAGTATTTGCTGAAAAGAGACAAATTTTCAGGTACTACAAACAATCTTTGAATTCTTTACTTGTTAAGAGATGCTGTTCCAGAAAGAAACTATTTGCTTCCTTTCAGAAAGAAGGACCTCCAGGAAGCTTTATCAGTAGGGTAAACCTAATAATTAAAAAGCATTACTTGTATCTTGGAATGTGGTGTTGAAGTTGATTACACAGTTGCTAAATCTTAACCCTTTATTAGTGTGTCTTACATGGGCATGATGAGTGCCATTACTTTAGATATACTCCAACCCTTATGTTGCATGTTTTGCGTAATACTTGTGGTCAAGGAATAAAAGTGATTCAGGAAGTGGCAAAAGCAGATTCATATTTTTCCAGAATAAACAGACTATAAAACATTTGGCAAGAGCAGGATGGCTGAGAGTAAGAAAAAGACTTCTTACCAGTGTGTTGCGTTGCTTTTTCCTCCTAGATTTTCGACAACAATGGATCAGCCGAATTTTCTGTGACAACTAATGAAACCTTTCGGATCACTCCAGAGCATATTGGCTCTCAGCTGCTACTGAAGCTGAAGAGAATGGCGGAAGACTCTCTTGGCATGCCCATTTCGAAGGCGGTCATCTCTGTGCCAGCAGAGTTTGATGAGAGGCAGCGGAACTCTACCGTTAAGGCAGCTAACCTTGCAGGTGATGTCTCTTTATTCCAGTGCTTTTCTGTGAAGCCTTAAAATTATCTTTAGGTCTATTTCAGTAACAGTAAAGTCTTTGGGGAGGATAGAGAAGCAGTAAATCAGTAATGGAGAACCTTAGAAGGGACATTTTTTTTATTTACACACCATTAACAATTGTGAGGAACAGCAGAGAACTCTTGGGTACTGACGGGTGCAGCTGACCAATGCAAACAGAGCTAGTTAGAAGGAGTAAGTTTTACTTTGGGGAAAAGAGTCTTTTTGGTAATCTCCAAATAGAGAGAAAATGCAGAGCACCCTTGGACAATAATTTAAACTCATAATTCATGACTTCACGCTGACACTGAAGTAGTATTTCTTAGGCTTAAATAATGAAAAGAGTTCATTGACTATTATTGCTTAGAAAACTATTTCCTTTATATCAGACATTTATTTAAGGTAAATTTGGTTCTAAAAAAAAACCCAAAACCAACTAATGGTAAATTTCATTATGATGTGAGAACTGCCGTTTTCTGAAGTGTGCCTGACTTGCTTGGGATCTTTGCTTTTTGTAGGGCTAGAAATTTTGCGAGTAATCAATGAACCCACAGCTGCAGCTATGGCTTATGGACTCCACAAAGCAGATGTGTTTAATGTTCTGGTGGTGGATTTGGGTGGAGGAACTTTGGATGTGTCTCTGTTGAACAAGCAAGGAGGGATGTTCCTCACACGAGCCATGGCAGGTAAGAAAAATGCTTTACTTTCTCAAGGAGTGGGGGAAAAGAAAAGGTGCACCTAAAGTCACAATTAGAGAGGCTTTTTAAAACATACCAGCTTTGTCACGAAGTATTTTCCAAAGGTATTCTCAGCTGCCTTTCATGCAAAATTAGATTTGTGACTGGTTGCAACAATTAAAATAAATTCATGGGTTTTGACTGACTGAGAGGAGTAAGTTGTGATTTCATTTTACCTATGGCTGTTAACTTTTATGCTCACTAGTAAAAGTGCTGGTGCATGTTGCAATTACTTTGACTGGACTTTTGGGGGCAGAGGTTACAAATCGTTCTGTTACTTTTGTCCAAGCTAAAATATGTGCCAAATTATTGACCAGTGCTTCAGAGCATCCTTGCATTGTGCTTGGCTCCAGCTCAGCTCAGGGGAGGTTGGGAACACGCATACTGTTAACCCAGAAGTAAGTTTTGTGGTACATGATTTGTCACTTGGCAAACAGTTCTGGCAGCAATGTTTAGTACAACTGTAGTGAGTACACAACTGCTTTTCAGATGACCTGGATTCAGACAGGTCCGAGATGCAGCACTAACTGTCTGCATTGCCTTGAATGAACACATTTTGATGTGAGCCCCTGAGCCCAGTGAGAGTGGAATGGCAAGAAATGCTCAGCAGCATCATTCCAATTTTATTTAAATGGCGATCGTCCACTAAGTGAATTCCTGTTTTCAGTCAAAGCAGAACAGAAAGTTTGAGAATACTGTCCAACACAGATGAAAATCTACAGGCCATTTTATAACTCTGTTGAATGGAAAGCATGAACAGTTGTTTGAAAGGTTTTGGAAATGCAGTGCAAGAATAATCTTTCAGTAGAAATAGGTTATATGTTATACTTTTCTCTCTCTCTCTGAAGGCTAATATAAGACATACCTGTTAAAAGAGCTTGAAGTTCACTGCTTGCATTTTATCACTTTCTTCCAGTTTTGGCAGGTTATATACATATACTACAGTAACTTCAGTTACAGGATTCCAGCTAGAAAGTTACCGTTAAGTATTTTTGTTTATAGGACATACCTCTGTGAGTTAATGACCACTGCTTTTTTTGTTTTCCTGTTACTGTGTAACAGATTCCAGGGGAAGAACACTGAGGGGGATAAATTCTAAAACAGTTGCTAGATAAAAGCTTGGAAATTACTATTAATCATGCATTCTTCAGTGGACAACAATTATGTCTATTTTCCTAGCTCTGTGAGCTCTTGTGCTGTGCTTATGATCCTAGTATCATTGTTTTGGCCCTTGAGAACCATTTCCCAGTGAAAGAGAAGATGTGTGCCGCTTCCTGAAGCTTTGAAGATTTTGTATCTGATAACTTCTTTTCTGATGTTTCAGGTAACAACAAACTCGGGGGACAGGATTTTAATCAGAGGTTGATGCTGTATTTATATGATCAGCTCCATCAAATGTATGGTTCTCTACCATCAAGAAAAGAAGAAATACATCGCCTCAGGCAGGCTGTTGAAGCAGTTAAATTAAATTTGACTGTTCATGAAGCAGCTACGCTAAAGGTGTCATTGTCTGTGCCAGCAAGGAAGCTTGCAAAAGATCTTCCAGAAAGTGAGGTACAAACAATCACTGTGCTGAAAGACAAGCCTTCACGACAAACAAAAGATCTGGAAAATCTTGGAGACTCTTCAAAAGTAGAGAACAACTTAGTCAAAGTTGTGTTTGAAACAGAAATCTCTAGGAAGCTCTTTGAGACGTTAAATGAGGACCTTTTTGAGAAGATTCTTGTGCCCATTGAACAGGTGCTGAAGGAAGGCCACCTACAGAAAGAGGAAGTGGATGAAATTGTGTTAGTTGGAGGCTCCACCCGGATTCCTCAAATACGCAGAGTTATCAGGGATTTCTTTGGAAAGGAGCCCAACACCTCTGTAGACCCTGATCTAGCAGTTGTCATGGGTGTAGCTATCCAAGCGGGAATTGTTGGTGGATCATGGCCTCTCCAAGTCAGTGCTATAGAAATCCCTAATAGGCATTTACGGAAGACTAATTTTATCTGAA